AGTTATTAATTAAAACCTGATTGCTGTATAATTAAACTTGAGTCTTGATTTATGAAAATGGAAATTTAAAACCCATTCTAGCTGTAATTTCCTCAACAACAAATAATAATAAAACAAAACAAAAAATGATGGGCTGGGACAAATTGGAGTGTAAAAAAAGTGGAGTTAGTTGGTTTGATCAATAATTCTTACTTATTTTTTAATCACATATTTCTTAAGAATCACTACTTATAATCAATCATAAACATCGATAAACATAGTTAAATCTAGATGAAGCTTTGGAAAATATCTTCTTTTTTTTTTTCTTTTGTCACGTCATATTTATGGAATCCCTTTAATTTCAACTTGCATTGGATATAAATTTTGTAAACACATTCTATTTTCCTTGTATGGCCCAACTGATTAAACAATCCATAATTTCATCGGAAATGCTCCCACGTAGAAAATGTTGTTAGAATGAGTTGACTTTTTATTTTTGTCTTATATTTTTAATTTGAGAAGTGTTAGGGGTACATTGGGGTTCACATAAAGGTTGACATAATACTCATATGGGGTTTGTGGGTCCAACAACATGGGTCCCACCCCATGTAAGTATTATGTTAACCCTTATGGATAAAAATTATGTAAAAGTAGAATTTTTGTTTTAATTTTTACTTACATAGTCCTTGTTCGGTGGAATTACATATCAACCACATTCTAAAAGGAAAAAAAATCTTTTTTCACCTTTTTTTCCTACTCTTTAACCACACTTTCACAAAGGAAAAATAATTTAAAGAATGACTTCTCGAAAAATCTTTATTCAAACAAGCGCAAACATGTAGAAACATGATAATAACTTACGAATTTTTCTTATATATACATTTCTCAATTCCAAAAACTACACATTCTATGTACCTTGTGAGAGTATAGTTGAAATTAATTTCATCACGATAAATCCATTGAAGTTAATATATAACAAAATAAATTAGTAGTGTGACATGTAACCTTCTCTATAAAAAGAAATAGTCTTATAAACGAAGCTAATGATGCTGTAGAGAATCAAATTCTAATCACTCCACACATTATTGTAGAACAGTATTACCGTGTGAGCGAGCACAATACAACAAATGAAAGATTAGAAAAATTGTGAACAAGCAAAGAATCGAATTAATCAAACTATTCCCAACATCATCGGTGTATTTTAAACCTCGGCTAAAGAATTAGGACACAAGCTATGCCTGTGGATGTATGGGATCAAACAATAATTAAATGTATTTCTCGATCAGGACACATGCTACTATGTTCAATCAACAGTTTTGCACAAGCGCACCATGTGTCACACATTCTAACAAATAAAAAATTAAAACAAATATGTTTGCAGCACTAGATTTTGTTCTAGATCAATAAGAAAATAATTGATAATATAAATGGTAGTTGATGAGATTCTCTTCTGCAAGTAGATAAAGTAGATAATGCCCCTACGCTGAAACTTTCAATCTCATCTCTTTTATTTTCAATTCATTTTGTATTGTATGTGATTAGTTATAATCTAATTCTGTCTTAATCTATGATTTTGTCACGGATTACGAACC